CTCTGAAAATCAGACCCCTTTAAGCTATCTCAAGTGGGGTGCCCAATAATTGAGGCACTCCATCACTAATCACTTTTAAAAATCTTGGCCCTAAACTCTAATAGCAGTAAGCCACTTGAGAGTGCATTAGATAATTGGTCCACACCTTGGGTCATCCGAAACATGTGAGGTGTGTTCTGATAGACTAGTAACGAAGACCCCTAGAGTGGCTTATTGTTATATTAAGTATTTTTTCTTAGGCTACCTTTACATGCCGAGCTAGGAGTGCGATTCCCAGCTTGCATGCACACGTACTCATGCTAGCTTGATGGAGAGCTAGCATGAGTATGAGTAGTAGTGCAACCACTGTAGCATGGGCAGTGGCAGCACAACTGAGCTATCTTGAGTACATATCCACAGGGTTCAAGCGAGGTTGCACTTGGCATGACTGAGCAGTGCTGCCACTGCCCATGCTACCACAGCTGCACTACTGTTTATACTCACGCTAGCTCTCATCTAGTCACCACAGTATGCGTACGTGAGCTGGAAATGGCAGCCTTAGGATATGGTGAGTCATGTTCAAACAATGTCAGAGCTGTTTTGCACTTATATTATTTCTGCCCCTCATTGTGAAATTCATATAGAAGGTGAAGTTTGTTTATCTAAAACAATTGTTCAAATGTTTCAAATGGTTCCTTAAGGCATTTGAATCAGTTGGAGTACAATGTGTATGTCATGGTGGGGGAAACATGGTGATGAGTTAGTTAGCTGTCGCTGGAACATATTAAGAGTATGTGTTTATACTAGTGAGACTCTGGATTACAAGCCTGTTTTTTGAAATACCTGGAATAAAGCAGTTGTTTAGTTCTTTCCTAGCTACATTATGTAAGACATGGGAGGTAATTGTCCTGCTCTCCTCAGTGCTGGTGAGGCCTTAGCTGGAGTACTGTGTCCAGTTCTGACTGCCACACTTTAAGAAAGATGTGGCAAAATTGGAGCGAGTCCAGAGGAGAGCAATGGAAATGATGATAGGTTTAGAAAACCGGACGTCTGAGGAAAGGCTGAAATAATTGAACGTGTTTAGTTTAGAGAACAGGAGGCTGAGAAGGGGGGATACAAGTCTTCATATACCTAAATGGTGGTTATAAAGAGGATGGTGATTAATTGTCCATCAAGGGTAGGATAACTAGTAATCATCTTAGTTTGTAGCAAGGGAGATTTAGATTAGCTATTAGGAAACCCTTTCTAACTATAAGGGTGGGTAAGCACTGGAATAAGCTTCCAAGGGAGGTTGTGGAATCCTCATCATTGAAGAGTTTTATGAATACGTTGGACAAACATCTGTCAGGGATGGTCTAGCTTTACTAGGTCCTACCCCTCCAAAGCGGGATGGACTAGATGACCTCTTGAGGTCCTTTACAGCCCTGTATTTCTGTGCTTGTATAACCATGCACCAGCCAGCTTCTCAGGGAGCAGGGACCACAGCAGAGTTACAGATACTAGCTTTTGTTTTGCTGAATGTATTATTTTTATTAATATATAAGAACACATATGAAGATAAATGTGACACCCATGCTTTTAAAACACATCATTTGGATTACACTTTTGCTTCCCCCCCACAATTCAACTCAACTATGTTTTTTAACTGTTTCCACTATCTTGCAGAACAGCAGCTGTAGAAATTGCTTGATACCACTTGAAAGCTGAGATTCTCCCTCTGATGTAGGGTGGTTTTTATGTGTGGACAGGAATCAGGTTACTGGCAACAACTGAGTAAGAGGCCAGGTTACTTCTGCAGTGAAGACAAGCCTTATGGTGAATAGGCAGTCACAAAGGACTTCCTTTCCATATTCTTAGCTTAAACCACAACACCCCTCGCCCCCCAAAAATAAAACCCTATCATGATGGTGCAGTGTACATTAAAGTTGAGAGAATGTTTAGGGACATTAATTATAGACTTTTTAGCATGGCACTATTAACTTTAGCCCTTTAGTAGTGGGGTGGGCCATCATTGGAGGAGAATATATACAAGTCTTCCTTCACTTTAAGGAAAAAAAAAAAAGGTGTGTTCTTATCTCAAGTTAACTAACACGAAGTAAAATCCTCATGAAGATTATGCAATTTGTAGTTTCCACACAAATTAGCGAGTCAAATTAAAGACTATGGGGGAGCCCAGGGTTTACCTCTACCTGCTAGCTCGTGTGAAAACTACAAACTGCCTTGTCTTCACTAGGATTTTACCTCAAGTTAACATGCTTTTTTGTACTGAAGACAAGGCCTAAGAAAAGGGTGATCAAACATCCTGTTTCAGGGTCTTGAAAATAGAATTAGGGTGCCCCCAGAATAGCTCATTTATCACTCTGTCCCAGGTTTACCAATGGTTCCCTCAAAACAGCCCACTTATTAACCAACCTGTTTTCCTAAGGTCTGGGTCTCCAGGGTGGCTAAGGAAATACCTGGAGGACATGGTTACAACCTTCTGATAAATGATTGGCACAAAACAGTGTTCTTTCCAAAACCTGGCACCTTTTTATTGGTGCACATTCCCTTATAGCAATTCAAAGAGCATCCCAAACCATATTGCCTTGTGGTTTGAAATGTTCCTAAGTGGCTGCACCCTGTTTCCAATGGCCAGTCTGCTGCAGGTTGCTGACAGCAATTGATAACAGTTCTTTAGGTCTTACATATAAACATTTCCTCCACAGTCAACACACATACATATATCTTTATTAACTAACACATACACACTGTGCTATCCTATCACTCACTCATGCCCGTCACCCCAGTCGGGGTATGGGCCGCCAACCACAGATCTCCAGAGTCCTTTAT